TAGGTTATATCATCTCCGGTAAGGGATTTAAGATGGACCTGATTAAACTTCAATCTATTTTACACTGGCCTTTACCCAGTGGACTCAAAGCCATACAGAGGTTTATCGGATTTTCCAATTATTATAATATTCCTCTGATCACCGAGTTATTTGATAGACTTAAAGGCTCCAGAATTTTTACCAAATTAGACTTAAGAGGAGCTTATAACTTGGTAAGAATCCAGCAAGGTGACGAGTGGAAAACCGCATTCAATACACATTACGGTCATTATGAATATACAGTAATGCCATTCGGGCTATGTAATGCTCCAGCTGTCTTTCAAGATTTAATTAATGAGGTTTTGAGGGAGTTCCAATAGGAATGCGTAATAGTAAACCTGGACAATATACTAATACATTCCAGAGACAGAGAAATTCATCACAGACAAGTGAGAGGGGTGTTGCGTAAACTTTTACAACACGGTTTGTACTGCAAATTGGAGAAGTGTAGTTTTGACCAATCCCAGATAAATTTTCTAGGTTATATCATCTTCGGTGAGGGATTTAAGATGGACCTGATTAAACTTCAATCTATCTTACACTGGCCTTTACCCAGTGGACTCAAAGCCATACAGAGGTTTATCGGTTTTTGCAATTATTATAGGCGCTTCATTAAAGGATTCGCATCTATAATAGCACCCATTACTAATATGACGAAGAAGGGTGCTAATACCAAGGTGTGGACTACGGAGGCTTTAGATGCCTTCAAGACTCTCAAGGAGACTTTTGCCTCTGCCCCAATATTGGTTCATCCAAACACTTCTTTGCCTTTTTTACTGGAGGTAGATGCTTCTGAGACAGGTATAGGGGCAGTACTATCACAAAGACAAGGATTGGATAAACCATTACATCCATGTGGATTCTTCTCTAAGAAGTTATCTGATATGGAGAGAGGGTATGACATTGGAGACAGGGAACTGTTAGCAGTAATAATGGCGTTGAAGGAATGGAGGCATCTATTAGAGGGGACTTTACAACCGGTTACCATTTTGACAGACCATAAGAATTTATCTTACATAGGAGAGGTGAAAAGATTGTCCGCCAGACAGGCTCGTTGGTCCTTGTTCCTTACCCATTTTAATTAATTACCTACAGACCGGGCTCCAAGAATACTAAAGCAGATGCTCTCTCACGTCAACATGAACCTGCTACATTTACTGAAATTCCTATGTCTTCCATAATCCCCAAGCAGAATATTATAGCCAATACCAGTGTGAAAGTACACTAACCTTTACTCTTTAATATTGAAAGAGAACAATGCATGGCGCCTGAACATACTCCTGAGGGAAAGTATTATGTTCCTCACAACCTCCAGGGTGAATTACTTTCCTGCTTCCATAACAGTAAAGTTGCCGGACACCCAGGCATTCACAAGACTTACTCTCTGGTTTCCCAAAGCTTTTGGTGGTCTACCTTACGTAGGGATATAAGAGATTATGTCATGGCATGTGACACTTGTGCCAAAAACAAACAACCTCACAAACAACCTCACACCCTTCCATGTGGTTTACTTCAACCGTTGGATATACCTAAGAAACCATGGTCCAGTTTAACTATGGACTTTATTGTTGAATTGCCGGTATCTAATAAACAAACAGTTATTCTCACGGTTATTGACAGATTTACTAAAATGGCTTATTTTATCCCCTAAACTACCGTCTGCACCCGAATTGGCTGAAAGTTTTGCGAGAGAGATCTTTCACTTGCATGGGATTCCTACAGATATTGTCTCGGATAGAGGTCCCCAGTTTGTATCTCGTTTTTGGAAATCCTTCTGTTCCCAGTTGGGTATTAAATTGAATTTCTTGTCGGCCTACCATCCCCAATCTAATGGGGCAGCCGAATGTACTAACCAAAAGATTGAACAATATTTGCGCTGTTTTGTGTCTGAACACCAAGATAATTGGGTTGGTTTGATTCCTTGGGCGGATTTTGCACACAACAATCTTGTTTGCGATTCTACTCAATTCTTTCGTCAGTGTCCTCCTCACAGGGTATACCGATGGTTGATGACCACGTCGCCAATCTGAGGAAGTTGTGGGATCAGATTCATCATGTTCTTGTTCACACTTCAGCTTTATTTAAACGGCAAGCGTGTAAACGCAGAAGGCCTGCTCCTGTTTTTCACCCAGGGGAAAAAGTTTGGTTGAGTACCAGACACATACGTTTAAGGGTTCCTTCCATGAAATTCGCACCTCGTTACATAGGACCTTACAAGGTCTTACGAAAGATCAACCAGGTGGCCTATCAACTTGCTCTTCCTCCTGGTCTACGCATTCCTAATTCTTTTCATGTTTCGCTATTGAAACCTCTCATTTGTAATAGATACACCTCAGCATCGACTCCTCCCTCTTCTGTTTAGATTGAGGGTCAGGAGGAATATGAGGTTAAATTCATTCTTGACTCCCGTATCTCTTTTGGGAAGTTACAGAATCATGTTGACTAGAAAGGTTATGGTCCTGAGGAAAGATCCTGGGTATCACATGCGGATATCCACGCTCCTCGCTTTCTCCGGGCATTCCATACCCGCTTTCCGTCTTGTCCTGGCTCCTTTCGCCCGGTGGGTGTTCCTAAGAGGGGGGTACTGTTATGGTACCTGTTGTAGCTGGGAGCAAAGAGGCTGGGCGTCTGGAAGTCCTGTCTCAAGTGGGCACACAGGCACCCTTCCCCTCCAGCAATTTTGGCACTTTAGACGCCGGATGCGATAGCCCCGCCCCCTTTTATGATGCGGTGCAATTCTGCCGACGTCATGACGTCAATGACGTCACGGCCCGCCAAAAAGGTCAAACCAGGACTTTTTGGGGGCGTGGACATCAATTAAAGAGGCAGGGTATAAAAGGTACTCACTTACAGTGAGTCATTGTCCTGTCGTGGTTTCAGCTTGTCTGTTCGCTCAGTGCGTTTCCTGTGATTGTTTTTTTGGTTATTGACTTGGCTTGTATTCTTACTTTGTTTCTCTCTCCTACCCTTGTACTCGGCTTGGCTTTCGCTTACCTGTCTTCTCGTTCCCTCGACCTCGGCTCATCCCTGACCATTCCTTGTCTGTGTGACGTTAGTCTGGCCACTCTAAGGTCCGGTATACGTCTTTATATTGTCAGTACTCTGCGTGTTGGATCCCTGTCTCGATCCTGACAATGCTAAATTGAGTGACCGGCAGGAGGGAGGGCTGTGCGCTTCCCTCCTGCCGGTCACTGAAATCTGGCTCCCCCTGGGCCGGTGCTCCCTAGGCGACTGCCCAAGTCACCTATAGGACACTCCGGCCCTGCTTTGGCTCACAAAAAAAGTTTGTTTTTCTTTTGTTTTGTTTTTTAATTCAGTTTCATAGTTCGTTCATACCAGTATGTTATCACAATGAAAATTTACTATAAAGAGCTTAAAGAGTCAGGCAAGGTCTAGACAGAATAGGGACATGTGAGAGTGAGGGGAGTGTATAGAAATAAATATTAAGGAGGTCTCAGAATAGTGGGTGGAGGTTCAGGGCAATATAGGAGGGCATTTTGCAGGCAAAGCAGCTAGCTTAAATACCCAGATTGGTAACTGCTTCCTGCCCTCCCTCCCCTGTGGTTGTTTGTCAGTTGTTCTTATTTGTTTGTCACAGCGTGGTGGTAAATGGCCCTTGCCAACTGGGTGTTGGACCAGCGGTCCGTGGAAAGATGTATGGTCGGGGCTGATCCCTCCTCTAACCTCGATTACAGCTATGGAAACAGATGTGCCACTGAGCCAATGATCGGCATGTGGTTAGCATTACGAGAATGGAAGGCCCAAGAAAGGCTAGTTGGGACAAATGGGAAGGGCAGTTGCCCAACTGATTGTGTTTGGTTGGCAAGGTGGTTTCTCAGCAACGTTTCAACGTTTAATTTTGCTGAGAAAGTTATATTATGTTGATATGTTATAAAGCTGATGTTGAAGAGATATATATACATATAAGTTGTGGCCTTTTATCACCAAGTAAGTTTGTGGTTTGGTTATTTTGGGAAGAAAAGGGATGAGGGGGAACAGTAAGGTGTTTCCTTTGGTATGCCCGTACACAATACTCTCTACCTAGTCACAAGTTGCTGTTCAATACTTTCATCATGGATTTGTATAAGGACTGGATACATTCATATTTATTCTTTTCATGTATAACATATATGGTATTTTCTTTTTCATTGTAAAAGTTAGTTTTGTTATTATAAAAATATCTGTTTAATAAAATATATTTGAAAAATAAATAAAACTTTTTTTTTTAATGATGTGTCATTGATAAAAATCCTAAAATTCCTAAAGCCTGCCTCATGGGATGCATATAAAGCATTCATACAGAATATTAAAAAGTAATACTAGGCCCCAAATAAAGCCTGGCATGGATAAATAACTATAAAAAACAAAACTACTTAATGTGTGGAACCCTTACAACTTGACTCGTTTTATCTATAATATCAATGGAAGGCAAAGCAAAAAATAAATTGTCTTTCAAACCAATTCCTTTTAAACATGCTGGATCTGGTCACTATCCCATTATGAGACCTTTGCCTTGCGCTCTCATATTATTTTTCCAGGGTCTCATTTCTATGATTTCTGCATATTAACAATCAAGGCAAGACATGAACCCACACCTATATATTATATCCCTAAAATGGATGTGAGCTCTAATTTTTCATGCTTAGTATGGATTTTTTTTTTAAGTTCTTTCTTCCAACAGCAATATAAGATGAATAGAGAGCAGATTAAAACAGATTGTAGGCAAATACTACAGAAGCAGTTCTTAATCCTGGATGTGTGTAAGTATTGTAGGGTATGCTCCACCAGGACTCTTGAAAACTATTTGTTATTTCATTAAGGCTAGCTACATTTTCCTTCACCAGCTCTTGCAATTGCACAACCCTTTGATTATTTATTTTAAATAATGTATCCAAATCTACATTAAGTGGTGGGATTTTCTTAAATAGTGAGGGAGCCATTTTATTCCAATTTCCTAGATCTTACTGTACCACGTCCACAGATCTTTGTGTGAGTTGGATATTGGCTCTTATGACCTCCTTGCCCACTTCCATGGAGCCATAGGTAAAATTAACAGACCATCCTGTTGTGGGTACCCTACATTGTATAGTTTGTTGCCACAGAACTGAAGATACTCCCAGTGCAAAGATCGTGGGACCCTGTCTGTGCACCACTCTTTTCCAACCATTTATGGGTTTGTGAAGATGAACAGGGCAGCTTCCTGAGTTTTCCACCATGCACCCATCTGCTGGGACTAGTGGTTCTAGTACACAGGAACAAAGCCAAGCATTACCATGTCTGTCACAGTAACTGGGGTTGATAACTTTCCAGAACTGGTCTTCTTTTATTACTAAGCGAGTTTGTGGAAGGAATTGCTTTAAAACATTAGTGCAATTAGCCACTTCCAACTCACCAAACATAGTCATCTAATAAACAGGTACAGGCTGTTCTGTCCAAAATAGAATGTCAATTATTAATGGAATTACCTTTTTTCCTAATTTGCACTTATTGCACCAACTCTGCAGACCTTTAATTTTGGAAAGGACTACATTCTGACAATCTATGCCATATTCCCTAACCAGATCAAAGACTAGAGTAGAATTGATTATTCTGGGCCATCCCCCTCGTTTTATTTCTTGGAGGCCTAAATTTAGATGTTCATCTAGTAAATTTCCAACTATACCACATACCTTGCTTTAGATACATTATTATTATTAACTGATTTTCTGAGAGCATTCACGGATATATTAATCCACTGCAAATCTGCAGCAATTGTGTGAATGTTCTGTATTGTGACATCAGTTTCAACTAGAGTGTTAAATTTCACTCATCCACCTTTAAGCATAATTTGCTGCAACTCATTAACATAATGAGTTAATGAGAGTTAAGACCCTCTATGTCTGCCCTATTCCAAATTGATGTTTGCAAACTGAATCCTCAGATTATATCAGTACCCAGATCCCTTTTTTCTCTCTCTAAACTTGAGCCTTTGTGTTGCATCCCAGAATAGATTAATATGTGCTTGAAATACCTTTTTAACCCCTTAAGGACACAACTTCTGGAATAAAAGGGAATCATGACAGAATATTTCCGTCATGTGTCCTTAAGGGGTTTAAACCATTCTTTCATCATCACTGGGCAACTCTCTGGTATATTAAATAATGAAAAATTTAACAATAATGGTTATGTTACATAAGACACATCAGTGTATGCAACTGTTTGTATTGGTTGCAATAAAAGGCCATGCTCTGGCCACAGGGTGGTTGTTGGACAGTTCTGAGAATTTATAATTCTTATGTTAATTGCTGGGTCAACTGTATTATGTAATCCAGTCTGATGGGGGTTGCATGTTACAACACCATTCTGGGAAAATGTAAAATTTCTTTCCAGCAGCATCTTTAGCCTCACTTCCTTTGTGGCATTGGCCCAAAATGTACTGGTACACTTATGTAAGTCACTTCCTCATGGATAGTTCCAAACTTCAAATTCAGAGGGAAGGTTAGTTTTAGGCATTGAAATGTTACATTGTATCACTATCCATCCCCCTATAGGCCCAACCACTGTAAGATTATCCTTACATGTAACTTCAGGTAATTGTTCTTTTACTTTTAATGTTACTATGATATTCTCTGAATCTTCTGAACTCCTTTTCTCCCTATGATAACCCTCTACAGTACTATGATGTACCATAACCTCCCAAGTCAAAGCCAATATGTAGCCCAATCTTTTAGTGTACCCAGAATCAGGTGGCCCAAGTCAACACCAATAGAGTAAAGGAAGCATGTATGTGGGTTTTATATAAATGGATAGAGTATTTTTTTCAATAAAGTAAAGTCAAGTTCTCTAAATCACTGCTCAGTAAAACATGCAAAACATTCTTTGTGTGCCACATATATGATAAAACCTAGTTAAAAATCACACCCATAACACATTTTACTAGTTGCCAAAACTTAGTACAGACTGTACAATCGATGTAATCTTGTTTGTATAAATCAAAGTCTAATTGAAGGTTATGAATTCTATTCAGGAATTACTCGAGTTTAGTTTAATTATACCTGTACATATTTATTTTAGGAACTCAATTCTAGAACAGTTAATTATGTTTTGGTTTATACACAAATTAAAGGATGCCATAGATGCATCTTGTTTTTTCCCCCCATATAAACCATATTCAGGGTTATTTACAAAAGTGAGAATTCCAAGTGCTTTAACCCCTTAAGGACCAAACTTCTGGAATAAAAGGGAATCATGACATGTCACACATGTCGTGTGTCCTTAAGGGGTTAAAGTGAAATTAAACTTTAAGGCCAAAGCAGCAGAACTGGAAGCATAGCTGAATTTGTCATTTTTTCCATTTCATGTTTTTTGCCCTTAAACTTGAAATTCACATTGAATTCTCACTTTGATGAATAACCCTAAAATTGAATGCATTATTGATACAATAATGTAGGATTTATAATGTATATTATTAAAATTATTTGTTTAACCCCTTAAGGACACATGACATGTGTGACATGTCATGATTCCCTTTTATTCCAGAAGTTTGGTCCTTAAGGGGTTAAAGGAACACTCCACTGCCCGAATGGGGAAAAAAAAAAAGAAATCGATGTTTGAATACAGGCATGCATGCATTCATTAGGGGTATATCTTAAAAGAGCTTGCAAACGTTGTAATTATTTGCAAGCCCTCACCTTTTAAACCAGAAAAGACTTTCAGTCTCTCCACAGGAATATAGCCAATCAGAGGCTCCCTCCATGCACAGGCGCACACTTGCTGTGTGCCGTTGGCTCATGCGAGTGCACACACTTACAGCAGGTCTGATCTGAGGTATACAGCTGGGAGGAAGGCATGCTCAAGTTGAGCATGCCTGCTCTTTCTGTTAGCTCCAAGGAACTAACGAAAGGGGACTGAAAACCTCCCTAGCTGTTGGATTGAAAGCCCAGGGGGGTGTTCTATAATTGATTAATAAAAAGGTAGATTTCTCATAGAAATTGGCACTTTTATAAACTGTCAATATTATGGTATACTCAATACCTACAAAGCATGGGTTTGGAGTTGCCCTTTAAGTCCTTAACTGAGTAATTAGCATGGGAGCTTAGATGGGCACTCATGACCACTGCATCCCATCAATGTTATCAAAATTGGGACAAACTTGTCATTACTTATGAGAAAATGCAGCTTTCTTGGTTGCAATATAGCGAGCACCAGGCTGAGCCATAGGATCGTGGGGATCCCAGACTTGTGTCTAACCACTTGATAATGGTGTTGAACAGCACTGGGGGAGGCTGACAGTATCCAGCTTGCACTATAACAATCACTAAAGGTTGTGAGTGTCCCTTTAAACCTTGGTATTTAGTAATGCAGTTTGCCTTGGGAATATCAGGATCCCATGACAATGTACCTATTATCCCACAGTTACAAAGAGATGGATTTCATAGTAAAAGCAAGAGGAGGCTAATCTAAATGACAAACTAGTCATTCAGAGGGACACTATAGATACCAGAAAAACTACAGCTTAATGTAGTTGTTCTAATGTCTACTGCCTCTTTTCAGTAAAAGTGTTTACATTGCTGCCTAGTAACACCTCTAGTGGCAGTCACTCAAACGGCCATTAGAGGTGCTTCCTGGAACAGTGCTGCACACACTTTTAAATGGGGGCAGGCCCCCTTAAACAGCGGTTTTAGAACTATAGTGTCAGGAATACATGTTTGTTTATTGTAGCGGAGCTCTTATCCCGCCTTAGCTGGAAGAAGTCTGTTAATGTTTATAGCCCCTTTCCCCAGTCATTAAATGACATTCCGGGGAGAATAACCAGTGTTATTGAGCCCAGTGCTGCCTTTTATAAACAGACCACCAGCATGGAGCTCCATTGAAGACATGATGACCCCACCCTGTCGTCTCTGAGTCTGGGAGTTAATTGAGTAACTCTCGCTAAACTAATCATCACATAGACACAGAGAGTACAATAGAAGAAAACACCAAAAACATTACCAAAACATCCCCGAAACCCTACACATTATACATTTTTAGATATGTCTGATCAAAACACCAATGCTGTGGCATTTAGGAGTTAACCCCTTAAGGCCCGCGGGCGTTCTAAGCCATCTTTAAGGGGCCGGTCCTAAATGCCGGAATCCAGCATTGATTTACTTGCTTCCCATCATTCTCCTGTGGGAGGTCATGATCCTGGGGACTGCCTGATATCCTAAGCAGTCCCCCTCCAGAATGACTGTCCGCAGCTCTGCCTGCAGGGGGACTGCCTAGGATGTGAGTCAGTCCTTGATATGCATGAAATTTTTTTTTTTAAAGTTTGTTAAAAGTTTATAAATGAAATAAAAGTACTTAGATCATTTAAATGTATGTGTGTGTAGTGTGTGTGTATGTATATATATATATATATATATATATATATATATATAAAAAAGACAAATGTTTCCTTGCACTCACGCTATCTTGAATAATGCCGGATGCATAAGTCAGCAGGCTGTTTTCATACAAAATATCCAAAATGATGGCTGCACTCCTCGGACTTCATTAAAATCCAAAATAAATTTATTAGATATACATTAAAAAAATACGATCAACGTTTCAGCCCCACTAGAAGGCTTTCCTCAGGATCACAAAAAAAATACATACATGTATGTATTTTTTTGTGATCCTGAGGAAAGCCTTCTAGTGGGGCTGAAACGTTGATCGTATTTTTTTAATGTATATCTAATAATTTTTTGGGGGATTTTAATGAAGTCCGAGGAGTGCAGCCATCATTTTTGATATTTGTTTTATATATATATATATATATATATATATATATGATCTAACTACTTTATACATACACACACTATCATTCTAAGTGTATTTTATTATTAATATATGTTGTTATTATTATAATATATATTTATATATATATTAAAGTATTATGCATTTTTCACACACAAATATGAACACTCACACTTGGCCAGTGGCTACTAAAATTACTGGACATATCCCATACTGAATACCCTGGGTTGTCTACTTCCAAATGGTATTCCCTGATGGTGATCATTATCATTCCTGAGCTGCCCTATGGTCTCAAAAGCAACATAGGCCCCCGCAAACTAACCTAGCAGACTTTTGGCTTTCCCTCATCATTGTGTCTGATTCTGTGTCCCGACCTCGGCAAGTATTTTGACTATTCTTGGAGACGTTAAGTCCGGCCATTCTAAGGTCCAGTTATATGTTATCCTTAGTGCTAGGCACAGTACAGCGTGCTGGATCAACTTGTAATCCTGACAATATGTGCCTCAATTTATTACATGTTTATTATCAATTTTTTACATCTCCAACATATATCTGTAGAGGATGGAATGATTTTGCCAATCTTGTGGAGACCCAACAACACCTGTTTGCAATTTTATATTGCATTTCTACTAAGTTTAGACAGTGAACCACAGAAGACAATTTATCTAAGATTTTGCTTTATCATTGTTTAAAAGATTTTTTTCCCCATTTAGAAATTGCTGGTATTTGAACCTTACTGTCAATGGATCTGATAAAATCTCTAGTCTTAGGGAGGACTTTTTTGAAACGCAATTATTTAAATAACTTCTCTAATTTGAATGTATGCATATAATCCATTATTAGATATTTAATTAATTTTTTTATTCTTATATAACTAAATATCTATGAATTAAGTAAATTAAGTTCCCTTTTTAATTCTGGAAATTATTTAATAGAGCCATTCCTCAATAATTGTGATAGTAAAATAATAAATTTGATCTGCCAGGAGTTCCAGTCTAAGTGTCAATTGTGGCGGTACGGAGACCGGGACCCCTGAGTGTCTGATGATGATGATGATGGGAGTCTCAGCGTGGAAATAGACTATAAGGGCCTGGTGCAGGGTTACCACACGCCCCCTGGTGTTGAGCACCAGTTTTTGAGCAGCCACATACCAGGGCCCTGATGCAGCTTCTGCGGATCCCAAGAGCTAGGAGCTTGATGATATGCAGACCTCCCAGGACCTGGATAGCGAGCTTCTGCAGCAGATATGTATCCAGTACTAGAAACAAGGCAAGACTAGAATAGGCACCAAACAAGATAACAAGACAAAACTAGAAGAACCCAGAACCGGAACAGGACAGAAAGCAGAACCCAGAACATGTACACAAGACACGAGGGAAACATGAACAGGGCAGGACAGGACTGTACATGAACTGGGAAGACAAAATAAAACAAAACAAGAGATACAAGGCAAAACAAGAGGAGACATAACTAAGTAATATATATGTAAAACATTGGAGATTTAGACATACATAAATGGCCAAGATGTATGCAACCCACCACTGCGCCAAAGTACTCCAATTACGGTGGGTCCTAACTGCCTAGATATGCATGACTACCTTTGTACCCGGCCCAATACTAGACACCTAAAATTCTCAGGTGACCCGATTGACACTAAAAATGCTACCCATCATAGTTCTAACTGCATTCCGTCCCCACAGGGACTAATATGTGGACAATCCTCTAAGGTTGAGGAACCATGCATGTTGCAACACTCTGTAAGTGTGTGTGATTGGACAGTTGCTACAGGTCCATTAGATATTGTATATGGCAATTGTACCATTGTATATTTGCCTTATAAGCTCTCAACCAGTTACCACCCAAATGCTGCATGTCTCAACACCATTTGGAACCTGACCATTCTGAAATGGTTTAACACCACTGTTACCTTCATCCCTGATGCTGAACTTACTGTCACTTCCACATTGCACCCTCAGGTCCTGAACCTTTCAACACTGTCTGTTTTCTTTACAACCTGTCATAGTATTGTTTGTGTTCCTTTTACTATTAACTCTCTTCAATTGCTATATGTTTTGTAAAATGAAGAGTGGTTTCCGCAACACATATTTCTCCAGCACGACGCGCTATATAAAAGTAGCCCCCTAAGAAGGTGCATGCCCATGGCTTAAGCTACAGGGCTCCTGTCCTGTTTAAAATTTGCTAACTTGGGTAATGTGATCCCTCAACCCTGTGGTGTTCATGTACTGATTTGACCTGAGGGAACCGAGTTAAAGATCTAACTTAAGTCCCACAGGTGCTACTTAGGGCTCCTGGAAATACTTTGGGTCTGTTATCAGTATATGAACACAAGAGGGGAGTTGTTATGGATATAAGCCAGCATCCGTTTTGTATACCTATTGACTCCATTTTGTCTTCTACATAATACAAGTTCAGTCTAATTACCAGCTTTCCTTTGAGAACCTTGAGGTCTCGTCTATCTCATGTTAGCCACAAAATGTTCTCCAGTTACATCTTGTTCTTCCTCGCTCTCCTGTGCGTTATAAACTTAAAGGACCTCTCTAGGCACCCAGACCACTTCAGCTTAATGACGTGGTCTTGGTGCCAGGTCCAGCTAGGGTTAACCCATTTTTTAATAAACATAGCAGTTTCAGAGAAACTGCTATGTTTATAAATGGATTAAGCCCTCCCCCAAAGCCTCTAGCGGCTGTCTCATTGAAAATCACAGGTAGAGCACGCAAGCGTCTATAGGAAAGCATTGATAATGCTTTCCTATGCGACCGGCTGAATGCGCGCGCAGCTCTTGCCGCGCGTGCGCATTCAGCCGACGGGGAGGAACGGAGGAGGATCAGAGGCAGAGAGCTCCACACCCAGCGCTGGAAAAAGGTAAGTTTTACCCCTTATCCCCTTTCCAGAGCCGGGCGGGAGGGGGTCCCTAAGGGTGGGGGCACCCTCAGGGCACTATAGTGCCAGGAAAACGAGTATGTTTTCCTGGCACTATAGTGGTCCTTTAATACTAAGTAGATAAGGGAACTGTCAGGATTACAAGTTGATCCAGCACGCACTAGGACTAAGGATAACTTATAACCGGTCCAGGAGGTGGGCATTCGGCCACCTTAGGGCGCCCCCAAAGCTGTCCTTTTTAGGTAAGTCAGACCAGACACCTGCTTACCTTGATGGCAGATGCCTGCTCAGCTGATAAATGCCGGTGACCAGAGGAAAGGGGGAAGGAGAAGGCAGACGGTGAGGGAGATTGTTCTTGCAGCTTTTCACTCCTCCCTCGCGTGCCCTCTGTGATGCCGGGAACAGAAATATGACTTCATTCATACTAAACAGCGGGTGGGAGGAGTGAGAAGCTGCCCCACACTGGGCCCCAGGGAGGCAGGGATGCTGGACGGGCATCAAAAATATAATTGTGTCAGTGTTTGTCTGTGTGTGTGTCTGTCAGTGAGTGAGTGTATGTGTGTCAGTGAGTGCGGGTGCGCCTGTGAGTGTTTGTGTCTGTCAGTGAGTGTGTGCCTGTCAGTGAGTGTGTCTGTCAGTGAGTGTGTCTGTCAGTGAGTGTGTCTGTCAGTGTGTTTGCTTGTCTGTGCTAGTCTTATTATAAACTAAAGTACAACAGGAATAAAAAGAAGGGGAGATACAGCGCTACCTCCAAAGGGAGCAGAATAAGGTCTGTTACTTGGATACCCTAATAACCCAAGAGGAACAAGGAAATAAATACAGAAAAAATCAGACTGGGCCAAATAAGAAATACTAGATAGTCTTATACATACATATATATGTAGTAGATAATTTACTGCAAACCAATTAGTTTGAATGACTATCTGTTCCTGTCCAAATTAAAGATAATAAAGTTGCGTGCACGCAGAAGTAAATTCACACTGAGACACAAGGTTCAGGGTAATGAAAGAACTTCAGAGAAGTTTAATGGCTTCTGACAGAAAATGGGTGCGCAGACCCTTATAAAGGCATTATTACATCATTGAAGAAAATCAAGATATAGACAAATAGACATTGTTAATTGGCTTAGGTGCTAAGATGTTAGTAAAATGCCCTCCCCATTCTTAGGTCACTATCTACGTAATTTCTTAACTCCTACAGGTTTTAGCGCCATTTTGTTAACATGAGGAGTTCACTCGACGGGAGGGGCCTTTTGGCAGCTATCCATTTAGAGCGTAGCTGGCACTTGTTAGTTTCTCAAGGTTAAGTTTCAAGGATTTTAGTAAATACACATTTTATCAAAGCTATTTCTTGCTGACATGCAAATTCTATGTTCTATAGACAAAGCTTCCTTGTAAAACTATGGGGGCCTCTTAGAGGTATAGCAAGAGGATTTAAAGGGGCCTTACAGATTTATAGAGGCCTAATAATTCTACAACAGTCCCCCCTAAAATGTTATTTTCTAAAAGACAAAACTTTATTTGTTAGTATCAGAAGAAGTATTAGCCCAAAGACACAGAAACCCCATGACCGCTGACTTAGTGTTAATGCAAAGTGCAAGTCTATCCCTCTCTTGACCCTAACAGGCTGCAGCACATCCGTCAGTACGGTTCAGGAACACTCTTCACTCCGCTGGTAACCCATAGTGGCTTATCCACTACTTCTCCGTACGGCAGTCTACCCATAAAGACGGACGCTGTCCCTGTACTGTCCCTTCCTAGACTTTCTGCACTTCATCAGTATAAGGGAGAGTTTGTAGCGGAATACAGGGTGAGATGAGGTCTTGATCATCGATTGTCAGATGAGTGAAGGTTGGTGTTGCTTGGTTTACAGTTTTCTGCAGGAATTTCCTTAGGCATGGGAGGACACAACAAATGAGAAGAGCGAGAATAAAAAGAAAAATTAGTAAGGCAATACCAATCTGGACTAAAGCTCTCTGCCAACCAGTCATCCAACCAAACCATTTTTCCCAGG